TGAGTGGTTCGTCTGTCATATCCATGTCTCTCCGATTTAGAGACAAGGATGTCATGCGAGACAGTGTCAAATGCTTTGCACAAGTCCAGGTAGATATCAGTTGCTCTTCCCTTATCCACCAATGCTGTAACCCCATCATAGAAGAACCTCCTGGGTTGCTTATGCCCTGCTGTGTTGTCCCTCCAAAAGATACTGGTTGAAGTCCTTCATGAGGACCACAGCTTGTGAACGTGAGGCTGATCCTATCTGTCTATAGAGGGCATCATCTGCTTAGTCTTCCTGGTCAGGTGGACTGTAGCAGACCCCCACTGTCACCTGTCCCTGTGCTCCCTTTCATCCTGACCCATAAGCTCTCCTCATCCATCCCCAGGCAGAGCTCCATGCACTCCAGCTGGTCCTTGACAAAAAGGGTGACACCCCCTTCTGATCTCCCCTGCCTGTCCTTCCTAAAGAGCCTGTATCCTTCCATTCAAACACTCCAGTCATAGGAGCCATCCCACCACATCTCTGTGATGCCAATAAGGTCATAGCCCTGCAGGCATGTGCATGTCTGTAACTCCTCATGTTTATTCCCCATGCTACCTGCATCTCAAGAGAGGCATTTAAATTGGGTTGACTTACTGGCTGGAGTGGCTGGAATTCCTTTGTGCTGCACTTCCCTTTAATTATTTTAAAATGAGACACATTAAAACAATTATGAAAATTATGAAAATAATCCTGCTACCCACTGGTGCTACTCTCCTTCTTGATTTCAGTGTTTGATTCCACTGCTGCTTCCCATTAAGTTTCTGTGGCAAATATCTATTAATTTTTATTTTTTTTTTAAATCTCTTCAACCCCTTCCTTTCAGAAGAATTCCCTCCTTTTTTTTTTCTACCTGGGGAAAGTGAGGAGAGGTCTTGGGGAGTTTGAAGGAAGGGGCTCAGCTGCCTGCAATACCTTTAACAACATTTCTCTGTGATGAAAACCAAAGAGTAACACAATGCAAACCAAGGGTGGAAAAGCAGAACAGCAAGAAGTGAATCAGGAATCTGGACATGTCTATCTCTGAGAAAGAATGGGCCACTTGAGTAATTCATCCTTTTTATTTTGAATTAAATGGGAAAAGTAAGTCAGACCTCAGAGACTTGGGGCATCCTTATTTCCCATTCCGGGAAGCAGCTGTGCTGCACTACCTACCTCTTGTGGCTGTCTGCATGCTACAGCTATATCCCCGTTAGAAAGTACTGTGTCCAGAAACAAATGAGAATGGTTTCTGTAAAAAATGCTACCAAACTGTCAATGTAATAGTGACTACATCAAAATTTGTTTAACTGGAAATTTCTTTAGTCCAATCAGTCTCAGACTGCATGAGTTGTTGTATGCAGCAGAAGCATAAGGCTTTCCATTCTAGTGACTTGTGTAAAGCATTTATTAAAAATAACTCTTTTGGAATGCATTTGTGTTGAGATGATGATCTGGTGTCTCTCCTTAGAGCTTAGCTTACTCAATAATTTAAGAAACAGCATAATAGCGTAGGGATCTATATAGATGTGTGTTTACAATGGGCAATGTGACAAAAGTATTAAAGCCAACACGACAGCGGTATTAAAGCCACCCACCCAGCTGTCAAGTCATGAAAATAAGCAAAATATAAAAAAAAAGTCTGTATCTCTCACTCTTTTCTTAACTATACACCCTTTATTTCATTTGCACCTGAAATTTCTCCAATCTTCATACTCACTTTCTTGTGACAAGGGGTGAAAATGCTTCTGTTTAACAATTCCATACAGTATGTGCAGTTATCTTCAGTACAGTTTCTTACTGGCCTCCTGGTTGTTACATCAAGTGATTTCTCGATTTCCCAACTCTTAATGAACACTTCAATTTCCTCCATGTTTGTAATTACGGTCCTGTTTTGCGTTTTCAGGTCATCAGTAGGGTCTCCATTACACACCCCTGGAGACAGAGCATCATGTTCAAAGCACAAACAGACATGCCATATTACTTCCTTTGGGAAAGGAAAAGATACTTGATAAGGTGCGATTGACCATCAGGCTCACCTGTGAGACTTAGACATCTCAATTTGTAAATGAAAGCAGCTATATGATGTCCACTGTAGTTCCAACTCTCTACTTCTGATTTTAGTTGTCAGCTCATTTGCTCAGCAAAACAAGCTGATCATACAAGACAAGCAATGAGACTTTTCCTAACAATGCATTAACTTTTGAGAAAAACTTCTGGCAAAATGTGCTGTTGAGTGTAGCAAATTCGCTGACATGGTATCAGATTCTGATCTCATTCTACTGAACAGCAATCAGCTCCATGGGAGTAAATGTAGATGGCTTTCAAATTAATTGCACGTTGCTGATGATATGACACTGCATTGAAACTTAATTGAACATTCTAAATACAAGAAGTTGTAAAGGGAATCTTTTGATGAACAAATTGCCTTCTCTAGAGAAAATATTTTTCTCATTCAATTTATGAATACAAAACCACAGAAAAAACCCACCCAACCCAAACCTCTGACATCCATTGGCACCTGAATTCATTATTGTATGTATTCGGTTAATTCATCAATGAAAACATGTGCTTCCTATAAGCACATAACAAGTCATTAATGCCAGAATTTTAATTTTCATAATAGTGTTTACATCCCAGGGACTGATCAGCCAAAGTTCCCATATCCTTTTTTCCTCTTTCCTTCTGCATTGCTAACCACACCCTATGTCCTCGCCTTCATGCTTCCAGCTCTGCATGCTGATACTCTCCCGGGTCCTGTGTTAAAGCTGGGCTTGCCTGGCATGACAGGCTGTTGTTCTCTCAGACAGCACGGAGAAACACAGAGGATGGTATTTGCATGATAAAAGCATTTGACAGTAGCACTGCTTTCCAGTATTCTTAACACTTCTGCTTCTTGCTGCTGTCCCAACGGCATCCCACAAACTGCGCTGGTGTTAAAATTTGTAGGGCCGTACTACAGAATTGCAGAATGAATGCAGCTTTAAAAATAAAGCAAATTTACCACATAATCCCACAATGTTTTCAGTATGGGAGGGAGAGGATAGGAAAGTCCCAGATGGGAACAAATGGCAGAGAATAGGGAAAAAGGACTTAAAGGAGGCTTCAGACTACTGCAAAATATCAGGTAGAGCAACACTTTACAGTGGAGGCTGGATTTGTCTGCATAGTCTTCCTCTTTCTGTCTCTTCATGGCACAAAGAGTAACTATTCTATAATCCTTCCTATATTTGACCTCATCTCATCCCAATCTTTTTCAGCATGCAAATCATCATACTGGGAGAAGATGTGGTACATGGCAGGGCCAGCATTCGCTTTCTATCACTAGATCTAGGAGATCCTTTCCTTTTGTTCATGCAGAATATAGCAATTGATTTTAAAAACTTAATTGTTTATATGTATATTTAAACCATATCTGAATTGTTTTGTTTGCTTTTTAAACTAAAAGCAGTTTAAACGACAACAATAAGTTCATTTTCCTGTTCAATATGGATTCTGTAAAATTACAATGCACCAGAAAATTAACATTTATGATAGAATTAAAGTAACTCTACAATACCTCCTTACACTTTTCCATATAATTCATACTGGCAGAATTATAAAAAGGCTATCAGGGAAGCCTGAAACATGCTAAATTTACTGTCATTGTAATTTAAGTCTGAGACACCTCAGCACAATTTTGGATCTTGGTTCCAACCTTAGAGAGGTCTGAATTTGGATTCTCAGGGGACTTGGACCCTGTCCAAGATGCACCTTTTATCAGTATTTGCCGCTGCCACTGCTGACATCTCACAGTTACTGTTTTCTTCAATAATCACTGAAATATCCTGTCACTACCTGAACTTCTTCAGCAGCCACTTCTCCATTGAAATTTTTTCCCTTTTCTTTACTTGACTTCAACAATATTGTTAAACACAGGCAGAGATGAGTACATTTTTAAAATTTAATTAGATACAATGTACTGGTCATTACTTGCTCTGAAAACTACTTTATTAGCAAGCGGTGCTTTGAAACAGAATTATTGATTTATTATTATTAATTAATGGAATTTCACAAGCCCACCTCAAATAGGCTTGTCAATGTAGTTAATGGGAGTCACAAGGGGAGCTGTAGGGACAGCAGGTCACAGGCAAAAAAGGGAGGTGTACATTTTGAATCGGAAATTATTAAATAAGAAAAACATTGCCTCACCACAAAGTCCTTCTGTCTTCATCGATGTGTTAGAGTGTAATCCATACTGTATATCTATGATGCCTGTAACGTGAGCCCACTTGATGCTAATACCAGCTGGGGTATTAACGACATACATTGCACCAGTATCCTGGATACTCAGTCCTTCTTTTGAAAATGGTAATGCTTGAATTACAGAATCCACTACTACCTAAAATAAACCAAATAAATTTTAGTGATAAAAACAGATTGTGAAGATGTATTTCATATGTCTTTGCATTTTATAGCAAAGGATATTTTTACAGCCTCTGCCACTTACAAAAACAGTTACAGTGCTTAAATCACAGATTTCCTATAACTGCAAATGAAGTAAGCATGAGAAAAAGTAATGATACAAAAATCTTTCTAATTAAGGAAGCTATAAAGCTTATTTATCACCTATAGTATGATAAAAAAAACCAACGCCAACCCTTATCCCAATTATTCAAATTTATCTGTTCCGACCTGTTATTGACTAGCAGGAAAGACAGCTTAAGTATTTCTCACGTCTTAGAACATTTCTGTCTAGTTCTCAGTTTTCTGGAAATATAGTCTCAAGTTTATACTTTATATGCCTTTTGCAGCTTCCTTAAAATCCCAAAAGAACTCTGAAGTGTCATTTGGGATATATAACATATAAGTGAAGCACAGTACCAGAAATGTATACTTTTTGCTTCTAGCATACTATGAATTACTGGGAACCTGAACTGCAAAAGTGATCGTAATCCTGTAGTACATTCATTAGAAGTCTGATCTATTGCATTCTACAACAGGATAGCTCTCCAGCTATCTTTAAGTGTACACATGCTGTATACTGGTGGTACATACTTACTTTTCTTGCTAAACGATTGATAAGTAATTTATAGGTGTGTGTTGTTACATTTAATTTCTTAAAACAGAGCCCTGAAGTGTTTGCAGGGGGAACCTTGAAAGAAAAGTGACAAACAAGTTTAGTTACTACTGTTTTTCTAATTCTCTACCAGTGCTATAAGGAATTTTTCAACATGTGTAATATTAGTATATTTCATAATTAGTAAAAGAAAAAAGTACTTACTAGTTTTCTTATTGAATTTGCACTCTGGAAAACATTAAAATAGATTAGAAGTGCAATGATAATCAGTAGCATTCTTATTTGGCAAAAATAAGTTGACTGTTTTCTTTGTGTTTGAAGTTCTACAATCAGCTTCATAATTAAAGTAATTTAAATATTCCTTAAAAATAATGAAAAATACACATTTCCCAGCCAATGTAGTGCACCTTTCTATGAACTGTTTTTAGAAACTTGATTTACTTGTTAAAGATTTAAATCAAAAAGGGGTTTATGTGGAAAATAATACAGAAAAGATAACACAAGGACCTGAACAAGTTGAATTAAAAATACGTAGAAATACAATGGTCATGCAAATAAAATCCCCTGACCTAACTTTGATAAAATTGCTATTTTACCAAGGCATCTTTCTGCACAAAATTGCAGCTGTATATACCATACCTCAGCTGGATTTTATCTAAACAGCTTTAACATTGAGAGCAATTCATTACTAGCATCACGAGATTCAGCATATGCTGCAAAGCCCTTTCAAAAACTATTTCTTAAAGAACTACAGCTACAGACTTCTAAGGCTCCTCTCCCTGTGTGAGCGGCATTTACTCATTTAGACTGCAACCAAGAACAGTGAAGAGAGCAATTTAAAAGAAAACCTCTAAAACAGTGTAAGACTCAGGACTTAAAAATCAGATGTACACTTGTCCCAGGGAGAGTAGATATGAGGCCGGATAGGGATAGGAAGGAAAGAAGCTTGATGAAGTTCCTCATCAGGAGCTTGTTCATTCTCAAAGCAAGGGTGGCAATACAAGCCAGTTGTTCAAGGGTTGCATAAATTAGGGCTATGGACAACGCAAAGGAAATGTATGTACAGACTCTAAGGATGAAACTAACCTGACCTAAACTGGCAGTCTAAAAATAAAAAGGCTGGATCCCCTCTGTACGCAATGCAGAGTTAGAGAACTACAAAAAACAACTCATCACACTAATCCCAAGCTCATTAATACCTTCCTAAAATAACTACAGAAGATTTTTGTGACTATTCCAAATATTTTAGTATTTCGACCATATTTTAAAGTATAAATTCAGAGCCTCAAGAATTTGTGGCTGTGGGTGGGGAGCCTGAAGTTATATCACCCCTGATAATTTAAAAGGAACCTACATTTGAATTTCCTTATAACGTAATACAACAATTACTGTTTAACCTGAGATAAAACTCGTTTCTGTAGACAGCATGATGAAGCATGCTCCTTGAAAATTAAATAACTGGCCATTTTTCAATGGGTACGGCTTTTATCTGAAAGTTTTAAGAAGTGATACGTTTTTGCAGAATTTCATACCTGTAACACAAAAAGACAAGAAACTATTACAATTATTGTGGAAATGCAAGAATCTTACCTGATTAGCAGGACATTTTTCAATATGAGCAACAATAATTTCTCCCGGTAACTTGACTAAAATGTAGGAAGCCATATTGCAGAGGGCAATGTTGTTTCCATCGAATGTAATAACGCTCAGTTCTGACAGTACAGAACATTGACCTAAAAAATAACTGTCATTTAATGAGGTTACCACAAAACCGAATACAAGGCATTGCTAAAAACTTTCAGTTTTAGCAATATTTGCTTTCATATGGCATATGTTCATATATACATTGATGACCTTGTTCTGCAGACAGCATACTGAGCCATAAGCAGAAATACACATCTTATGTTGGTCAATGGGAATACCTTAACCAACTGCTCTGTGTCCAGTGTAGGGGAGAAAGTTTAAATTGATGAAAATTTTCACTTAAGTCAATGTTTTCCAGACAAGGTTAATGAATCTGTACGTTGTCAGATAAAATATATGCATTAAAATCTACATATTTTTGAGATACTGATAACAAGACACTGCTCTGTCCTATCTTGAGACAAGTATTTAAAAGTGCGATATTGGTTTCTGTAATGCTGCAAGATTTTTTGTATTACTTGTCTTCGGTGTGTTTTTTTTTCCCTTGGCAGACAGTCATCTGCCAGTTTCTGCAGTTTCTAAACATGAGTAAAAACTGCAGTTAGAGTTAACTGAAATTTGGGGGTTCTGTCTTTCAGAAAATGCCACTATTTAATTTGTTTTCTACACAAAATGTTGAAATCTCAAAATTTCTACTGATATAAATTCTGAAAAGTCTCAGCTGGAAAATGTTGATGTTCATGTTGCAGATTTTATTTCAATGTTTTCATTCAAAACAAAATATTTTTGCTCTCTTGAATGTTAACTCAAAGATACCAAAACATTCACTGTATTTCATTCCGTTTTGCTGATGAACAGCTCTTCTAAATTAATTTCAACCTCATATTCCCACTGTAATAAACCCTTAATGTATTACTTGAAATTTACAGATCAAGGCTCTATGTTGTATTTAAAAATAAAGCAGTGACTTACAGGGACATTCCCATTCTGGGCAACAACTATCAGTGTTGACTTGAACTGGCATTCCTCGAAAACCACAGTCTGGCTTCTGCACATCCTTAGGGCAGTTCCTTGAAAGGTTGTATAGCATCCAACCCGTATTAACACATACATACTGGCTACATTTGTCGACAGGTTCAAGGTATCTTGGCTGTCATATACGGAAAAAACATCCAGAATCAACTTTACATTCGTTGCCCTTATGAAGTCCAAGCCATCGCTTGTTCATCGCTCTGCTCTGAGGCAGAATCAGCATATCTACGTGACCCTTCATCAGTTATTTTGGAATTAATAGCTTTTGTGTGATTGTAACAGGTGACAATGATGCACATCCATTCACCCACACCTTTCCTGTTCCATCTAGCTTTGGTGGAACACTCTATGTAAAGCATTATGCATTGAGGCTACATGTTATATTCAGTAATAATCTGAAGCATTTTAAGAAATACAGAATCATGCATTCCCATCATTTTAAACACTATTACGAACAAACAGATGGAAAAAAGAAAGACAGGGTAAGAGTATGCAGAAGCCTCAAAATTCCATGGATTATGGCTTTTTCTGCACCTCAGAAATATATTTTGCTATATCAGCATGTAGCTTTAAAAGCTGTTTTATTCAAGAGCGATACATCCAAGTTGCAAAATATAGCAGTATAAGAGCAGCAATACAACAATCCTCTAAGAATAATTGGGTATTTTAAAATATATAAATAAAAAAGGGAGATATTTTAAATCTCTGATATTACATACATAGCGTAAGAGAATGGACTGAAAAGCAATACATATTTTAACACACAGGGGCAAGTAAAACTGGTCATACCACACATCTGGAAGATGTAGACATCAGTGTATGCATCATTGTACCAAAGGAAGCCTTGTCAGCTGTAGCTGTCATTGTTTCTGTGCTTGCCAGAGAAGTTAGTGTTTTCACAGGCTCTGAAGAGGAAGGCAGAGCCATTCCACCACTAGAATGAGATAAATCTATTATAGTTCTGGTCTGCAGCTCTGTGGGCTCTGCTAAATTGAAATAAGGTGTAATGTTTTTCTGTGTTGGGATTTTGGACCAATCTGATGTTGTTACATCCAGGGCTCCAGAAAGAGAGAGATTTTTTGCTGACGTGGTATTTCTTGAAAAAGGCAAACTCTGACCTGTAGATACTGTAAAAAAAGGCAGGGACGATTTCTCTGTTGTAGTTAACTTTGTCTTGGTAACATTTCTTTGCTCATCTGAAGTCTCACCACTTTCTAAAATATCCACAGTTCTTTCAAATGAGGTTGCATATTTAACTTCTGAAGCTGTAAATGAGGTACTCTTCATCTTTGATAATGGACTTGCAGTACCAGTTGTTTTAACCATCATTTTTGGAGTTTCTTCAGTGCTCTGTGAAGCTTGAGTCGCTGCAGATGTAAATAAAGATTCCTGTGACACATGCATGGGTGTTTCTATGGTGGTAGGAACTGAAGCTGAAGCCCTATAAAATCCCAAATTGGCAACAAAAGAATCAGTGGTTTTTGTAGTAATCCCAGAGGCTACAGTAGTGCCAGAAGCAACTAATAAACTGGCTGAAGAGCTAGGTGGTATTTTTGCAAAAATATAAGGTGTTTTTAAGGATGTAGCATTCACTGTTGTTTTCATGATCCTTGGTGTAGTGGATTGAGTGATGATTCCATCTGATATTGTTCCATCTTCTTCTGAAGAACTTACTGAAGAAGTCTGTTTTCCTAGAGAAATAGTAGAGATACGAGTGGTCTTAGGAGGAGGTGAAGACATAGAGACCCTACTGGATTGGTTTTCTAAAGTGGCTTCAGGAGTTGTAGGCATTAGTAAAGAGGGCATTATAATGGAAGTTTTTAGCGCTGTTGAAAGGCTGGTAGGAGGGCTTATGTTTAAAGTGAACGTAGAAAAAGCTACAGAAGAAGTTGTAAAGTCTATAACTGGACTTTTTGAGGTTTCTTGTGTATCTAGAGGTGAAACTGGTGTTTGGGTAGCAGTTATATTTTGTGTTAGTGATGATGTCCTACTGTCTCTGGGAGTCAATGAAGAACTTGTAGTATGAGATGTCACATAAGATGGTGCTGATGTTGATAACAAGATTGTAAATAAAGATGGTGGCTTTGTAAGAGAAGGATCTTTAGGAATGAAAGTGCTTGAAATTTGTGCCACAGTGTCATTTTTCAATCCTGTGTGTGAACTGCTTGGGTAGTCTGTAATTTCTGAAGTGGCTATTAATGTAGCATTTAGAGGTAATACCAAAGTCCTAGGAGGGAAGACTGTAGAACTACTGGATTTCTTTGGCTTTTTAGAAATGGACGACACTGAAAAGGCATCAGTGTGCTTTATGTATTTATTTTCTGTTGAGGCTTTACTTGCTATAGACATATTAGAGATTGTTGTATCAACTAGAAGAGCGGAAGCAGTGGAAGGTACTTTATAAAGACTTTTGGAGGCAACAGTGACATCTGCCATAGCTTTAGGCTTCAGCGAGGTAATCAAAGAATGCCCTGGTATAGATAGTGTGCGTGTTACAGAAGGACTCAAAGAAGTGCTTACAGGGATTTGAGAAGCAACTTGAGATGAAGATACAGTCATTATGGGCAGAACAGCAGAAATACTGCCTTTTATTAACGGAGATGTTTGCTTGGGAACAGTCACTGAAATTTCCGCTGAAGATAAAAATGGCTTTAGAGAAAAACTAGCTAAAGAACTCGAATTTAAAGATATCAGAGACGTTTTAGACAAGGTTTTTGCTGTTTCAAAATATGAAGCTGTGATTAATTGAGGAAAATTTTTGTCAAAGCTAGCAAATCTAGTAGTCATAGGAATTTGAGGCGTTTGAACAGTTGAAGTCAGTGCAGAAATCTGTGTTGGGTGAACTGCAATTTGACCAATGCCAGACCTAGTTCTAACAGACAAAGTTGACATAGGAGAAGCAGATGTGTTTAGCGACAACCGTGAGCCTAGAAGAAATACAGGTCTTGTGAAAGTTGCTCTGCCAGCCAGCAAAGCAGACAAAGACACTTCAGAAGATATTGCTGCTCCCTTAGAATGACTTACTGAAGGACTCCTACTCTTCCCAATCCCTGCAGGCAGCTCAGAAGTGACAAAAGATAGCTTGGAACTTAAAGTTGTTAATGCTGAGGTAGGGGGAACAGTTCCTAGCTGAGTGATTGATGTTTCAAGTGGAAATGGAACTACCATTAGGGAAGTGGGTGTTAATAACGCAGAATGTGTTGGAATAGGACTTGCACTGAGGAGGGTTGTTGGAGTTGCTATTGTAACGGGTAAAGTTATAGATGCAGTAGAACTGACAGTACGTGAGGTGACTGCTGAGGCTTGAAGAGCAGTTGGAAAATCTGTTGAAGAGATGAATTTGGAAAGGACAGTAGGGCTGGCTGTGCTGTGAAGTACATCAGAAGGCTTCACTGTACTTGGTAATGAAAATGTTGAATAGGTGGCTGCATTAGATGCTTCCAGTGAATAAAAGTCTGTAATGGACTGTGTCGACATATTCATTCCCCTTAAAGTTGTGTTTGCCTTCGTGGTTATTTTGGCTGTCACACCGGTATGAGTTGACTCAGTCCCTGAAGTAACAGATAAAGGATGTGTCTGAGGAAATCTCCCTGTGGTAAAACCCATGTGAGAGATTAACAGTGAAGTTTTTGTTCCAGATTCTGTAGGAGTCACAGGTATGCCTAAAAGGAAAAAATGCATGTTTCACTGTCTTTTATGGATTATTAGTAAAGCAAAATAGCAACATCTATCTCCGCTCAAGTCCCATTTAAACATTAGAAAATCAGAGCATTGTTTTGCTGAGAAGATAACTTGCCAGTGGTTCCAGGTTGCCTGATGACTTTGAGGAGCACAGCTGACTCAAGAAGTTTTCTAATTTTCTTTGCAAATGGAGTAGCTATTTTTTTATTATTAGCGAAAACCTTGATTTTGCAGAGCAGTTTTGAAGCAATAAGGGAATGCCATGGAAAATTCAGTAAATCCAAACCAGTAAAATATTTGGAATAAATGTATTATAGAATATGTTATCTTCTTTTGTATCTTTGGAAATTAGTATACTATATGAGATAACGTCATACTGGCAACTATCAAACATAATGTATTTAATTCAAAACTTGTAAAATAAAGTAAGAGACAGTATTAAAATGTAATCTTTATGTTAAAAGAATACTCTATCCCCAAAATAATCAAATAATGTGGTAACTTCACACACCAGAAGTTATGAAATGGATGCACTGAATTTGTTAGTGGTGGCTCCTCAACTAAAGTGTCTGAACTTTTCGCCACAGCAGTATTTCTTCTATTTGGGATCTTTCTCTTGTATACATATGATATACTAGCAGTATATAATCAAATATAGTTGTGATGAGTATAACACCATCACAAAAAGTTAGATTTAACACAGTATTAGAGAAATGAAAGAACTCAACTTTAGATATGGCTTATTTGGATGTATTTTGGATGACTTGGGAATTGAGTCTATGTCCCAGAGAGAGTCTTCATCTGGTAAAGTATTTAATAAAAAGCAACAATGTACATTTGATTAAAACCTTTCCTGGAATCTCTAGAGTGATTTATAAGATTAGACCAATATAATAAAATATACTTACAGTCTTCTGGATAAACACATTTAAGTGTGACCTCATCGAGGATCATGTTTTTGGGACAGTATGGCAAGCATCCTTCAACCCTTTAAAATATTGTATAATTAATTCTAATGCCGCAATAGAAATATAAATTAATTTTAAATTATTTCACTTTGGCAAAATGAAACATTTGAATATCTTCACCATCAGAGTTCTAAGAACTTTCCAGTGTAATGGTGAACACAGAATTTTGAGGCATTTTAAGGTCAACAAGACATTGAACAGCACAATTCTATTTCTAAATTGTTAACAATCAATTCTTTGCATAGGCTGATGAACATAATACCTTTGGACATTTCTGCTTCCACAACCAGGTTGAAATTCAGATCCCTAAACAGAAAGATTTCCCACAGGACAAAGAACTTCACTATAAGACCACTGTTTTATCCAGATATGTTCATTTGAGACATTAAAAATATTTAAATGGATTCTATAGAAAGTCTCATTCTTGTGCACTTTCAGAGTAGGAAAGTGCAGACAAGTCCCTTGCCTTTTCATTTTGATTATTAAATTAACAACCACTGTACCCATGTGAAAAAAGCTAAGAATACCAATAGAGAAAATTAGCAATATTAGTAACTTTCCTAATCATAAACTGCATATGCCTAGGGAGAGATACCCTGAAATTCAAAATACCATTTCTTTTCCACCAGACTTTATGCCTTGATTTTTTAGGCACTTTTCCTTTTAGTTTGTTTTAAAAAATTACACTTCCATAGATGCCAGGGGAGATCCATGGAGACAGGAAACCTTGTTACTGACAATGTAACATTAGCAGTGTGAAATCCCTCACGTCATGCCAATAAGCATCTTTTAGCATAAAGTTCCTTCCTCTTACAGGAGAGGGCGTAGTCCACCCTTACTATTCCTCCAGTTTTTGAGCTCTGTCATATAAACACCAGAAAGATGTAGTCATTTACAGCATCATGGGATGCTGGTGTAGGATGTGAATATAAATCCATAGAAGGGAACAACCCTCATTTAATTTAGTAATTTTCTACCTAACCACTACTAGAAGTTAATCTGCTGGGCTAAATACAAACCCTTTTATTCTTGTTTTGATAGATCGCATGTAAACAGGAATATATACTGTGGGAAAGGAGAGGCTTGTTACAAATGTTTTCACATGATTTGTGAGAGCTGCTCACAAGAGTGATACTGAAATCTGGATAAGTAAAAATGAATGGATATTGCAGCTGCAGTAATTTTCAGAAAGCATACAGTGCACATATTACAAAAATACAATACAGTGGCAATACTGAACTTAATTTGACTTACGGAGGAAGGAATTTACATGCTATTCCTTCAGGATCACTACACGTTTTAACACAAGGATTAGCACAAGATTCATATCGCCATTCACACATCCTTCTATAAGGCACAGATGCACCGAGTTCTGAAAGAGAAGGAAAAGATATTATTTATTGATTGTGTAGTCAATAAACTATACATTTATAGCCTTTTCTGTAATGTACATTGGGATTTTTGGAAAAAATGAAAAAGTGAAAACCAAGTAGAGAAATTCTTGAGAACTTTCAAATAGGTGAGATTTTGTTCGTTTTCAATTTCAAGTATTTTAAATTCAATCAAGCTAAAAGACACCAAAGCTTCAAAGATACAAACAGCTACTCACTTTTTCAATATATTCTGTTTAAAAACCTTAAAAATCAATTAACCATTGCAAAAGTACTGTTGGTTACAGAAGCAATACAAATACATTCATTTAAAAGAGCAGATATCTATAGCTCACTAACAAGACATTAACATACATCTTTTTGTAACATGCCACATTCATTTTCAAAGAGTAAAGCAGTGAAAATATAGTTCAAATATAAAGTGATCATCATATGTGCAAAAATTAGAAAATAGTAACATTTGAAGATGGGGTGGAAGACAAAGAATAGTAATTAAAAATAGGATAAAAAATATTTGTTACTATTGTTGATGAAAATGCTCTAAAGGCAAGCAGAAGAAACCATACTTATCCCTGGGGATTATACAAAATTTACCTTCAATACTAAAGCTGCTCAAACGTTTGAATTCTTCTGAATCATCGTACTTTGCCACTTTAACACTGGATGAAGTGAGAATGATGAAAAAGCCTTTTTTACTGTGCAGTTCAAAGGCGCTAAGCCCCGGACTCCAGAGGCCGTGGTGGTGGAAGAAGGTGGCTCGTCTCCGAAAGGAGGCACTTGGCTGCCACTGTTCCAACCCAACGGTTTCATTGTCATGTACGTACAGAAAGTAGTTTGGTCTTTCAGCAGATTCAAGGGAAACAAGAGAGAGAGCTTCCACAGAAGAAAAAAAAAAAAAAAAGTAAGATTTTCACAGAAAACAACTTAAAGGTGAGATTAAAATCTATATATTGTTTGTTAAGTGGCTCCTTTTAAACAACTGCTTTTCACAACAAAGGATTTCAGGTTTATGTTACTGAAAAAAAAAAGTTAGAAATGCAGGGTCTAAAGGAGACTTCAAATGATGACATAGTCCAGAGCCACCAGAGAGCTAATCAGTTAGATCAAAACTACATTCAGCCTACTACTGCAAGCCTTCAAAATAATTCATAGGCAGTCTCAAATTGGGACTTGCTCAAATTGGGAGCGTTTTCTCAAATTCAGACAAATGCCTGACAGTCCAGCTGTACCAAAATTTCATTCATAAATAACATCACACAAATATTGTAAGAATATGCTTGACTTCACCTTGAGGTCAGGCTTTTTTTACATACAGTCATATCCAGCAATACAGTAAGAAAAACTGTGGCCAAATAAAAGACACGACCCTCTATTTTCTCTACCAATGCCAGAAATCAAAAGTGAGGAAAATTCTTTGAAAATTTTAGAACTTGGAAGAGGACTGGCTTCAGATTTAGTTTTCAACTTGAATAAAATCTTGAAGAGTCTTTAATCTAGATTAATATTATCTCATTCCTCACAGATGTGAAAACTACCCGTGTACTGCATAGATATAATGAATGTTTTACTTCCACTTTACGTCTGTTGGAGAGTTGACAAGACTGAATTAATTTTTCTGTACTTTCTTGTTTCAAAATCATATCTAAAAAAATAATTTCTCCACTGCAGAATTGTCAACTGCTTGTGAATGTAGTTTCAAATTTTACTGTGAAGACAGCCCTTCTCTACATTGATTTTTGAGGGATTTTTTCAACAAATTAAATTCTGTGAAAAAGCCATGACAAAATCTGTATTGACATAATTGACACAATCCCAATACATGTGAAGAAAGGAAAATATATACAGAAGGAAAAATACTTAAAAATATTTGGGTTTGGTTGTATAGTTTGGATATGTCTCTGATACGTGCTTTGTATGGAGATGCTGCTTACTAACAATGCAGGAGACAGGTTGGTTGTTCTCAGTTGCACAATTTATAGTCCACTGAAAGTCATGAAAAAAGAAGAAAAGATAAAGTAGAAGTGATTTTACTAGAAACAAAAATATCCTGCATTCACCTTCGGTGTTGATACTTGCTAGATACATGTGCAAAATTTTCCAGTTTCCAGTTATACAAAGTATTTATTTTTTTTAACAAAGGACTTCTATTCATGTGTATTTTTCAATATTTCTAAAAAAATCTTTGAAAAGTCAGCTTTAAAGCTGGCAGCAAGGTGTTTCAATATTAAAAAATAAAAATAAAAGAAATTAGTATTCCTCCTCAGTTTTGAAATTGGCTGCTTCATTCTCCCTTATTCCAGTAACTAAAAATACCTAGACTATTTTAGGAGACATAGAAGATGCAGCAAAATTAATTCATATAGTTTGAAAAAATGTATTGCCATTAGCAAAATTGTTGAGAACACTTACATAAATATTTATCTTTGAAAAGACCTGGAGTTATCATGAAACTGAAAAATACATTTCCATATGCTCCCGTTCTAGGCAGGGGAAATATCCTTCTACTGGATACGTTAGCTCCTATAATTGTGTCATTCTCTCCATAACTTGCCAAAATATAGGGTCCTTCGCCAAGACCTAAAGGAAGAAAAATCAAATAGAAAAAAAGAATCATCTCCTTGCATCACATACAAAGCTTAAGTCTTAGTTGACATAATATACTGCCTTAAATATTTCACCATACCTGGAAGCAAATAAATTTGGAATTACAGCTCAATGCCTCAAGGTGTTATGCTGGAGTAGGTCTGTACCTATCTGCTCAAAGTACTCCCTTTTTCTTTGCTTGCTGTCCAGAATACAACAGATACAAAGTGAGCACACAAAAAGTGTGGCTGGCTATCCTCACAAAATGACCTGCACAAGAAAGCCATCTGGGCTGCTTTTTTATGATATTTAGTCTTTTACATGTTCTTATCTCTATACTTTGAAAGATCAACAGAGCAACTTTAATATTAATTCCCCAAACAGACACTGAAGCTACTCTAAGATCTACAAGACAATTCCCCCCCCAAAATAACAGATCTCAAATTGTAAGGCTGTAATTCAACTTTTGGCAGCAGTATTGCTTAAGCAGTTGTCTAGTTCATCCTCTTCCACAAGCCACTTGTTTCTGCCCCCCTACTCCCCCATTTATGATGCCATCCTAAGTGTTTCAGCAGTGACATGATCCAGCTGAAAAACAACCAGCTCATTTTTCCAGTCTGGTTCACCACATCGTCATTCAAAAGCTCATGCCAATGTAACAGTCACAACAGCTTCAACTGGCACCACTGCCAAAACGGTGCTGGCCTAACCATGCCCTGCAGCAAACCCCTGGAGCTATTTCTGCTGGGCTGGAAAGGCTCACGGGGATACATCCAGATACAACAGCATCCATCTTTGTCGCTGTATCCCACTGAAAGAACCAAAAGCAGCGTACTTCTAAAACCTTACCTTCTGAGTAATAAACCAAATGTGTAAGTTCTGTGAAATCTTTTAATCCTTACAGTGAAAAGACTGAACCCTTTCCCAGCCTAAGACACCTCCTTTCAAATATGACTCTTCCAAGAGGGAAGGAATTTTCATAATAATGAGATTTGGCTCAGCTGGAAGTTAAACACCAATTTCTGAAGAAAACTGCATGAATATAACTACTGTTTTAATATGGAAACTATACTGGAGCTCACAGGCAGGTGAAGCCTACAAGCTTGTGACAAAATGACCATTTTTAAAGCAGTGGTGAGGCAATTTGTCTTAAAAAGACACATTCTAAATCATTGGATGTTTATGCCTACGTATTAACAGATATTTTGCCTATGACTTGAGCAAAAGCAGGACTGAGCTGTAATTGATAAAGTTTCCGTAAAGACTCAACAGTTTGACATCATGCAGAACAAAAAAGAATGAGAGGAGGAGCCATCCCAGTCCCAAAAGGTGTTTTGCTGGCACTTGGTGGTGGAAATAACGCCATTCTTCACTTTAACTCCAGTAGGCAGTGAAACACCACAGAGCCATTCGCTCATTCCCTCCCAAGTGGGATGGGGGAGAGAATTGGAGGGGAAGAACTGAAAATACTGGTGGGTTGAGGTAAAGACAGTTTAACAAGGAAAAAAGAAATCAAATGAAAGCAAAACCAAAAAACGGGATGCAAAAAAACCCGATTGCTCACCACCAACTGACAAATGCCCAGCTAGACCCCAAGCAACACCAGCCACCGCAAACTTCCTCCCACTTTTTATTGCTGAGCACGACATCATATATTCTGCAATATGCCTTTGGTTGGTTGGGGTCAGCTGTCCCAGCTGTGTCCCTTCCCAACTTCTTGTGCACCCCCAGCCTACTCGCTGGTGGGGCAACGTGAGACACAGATAAGGCCTTGATGCTGTATACGCAGTAGCTAACCCGGGTGTGTTATCAACACTGTTTTTATCACAAATACAAAAATAGCCCCATATAAACTACTATGAAGAAAATTAACTCTATCCCAGCCCAAACTAGTACACCTTACTACTTTTTAGATAAGACAAAATTCCCTATTGCAAGGAAACCATGCAAAGTCAGCTATACCTAGCAGGATCTACAAGCTGTTACTGTACTAAGCCAGACTCCTTGGAGAAGGAAAAAAAACATATACTGTATGATGCAAGTCACTAAAAAGACATGTAAAAGTCACATTCATATCATTGCATTTAGTCAAGTTTCCCTTCCTTTTTAATATCTTGCTCCCCACAACATACATGTACAGTATCCAAATCTAAGAGGGGATGCCACAGGAATTTAGTTTATTAAATAAATACCACTCTCATTCAAATGAGCTGTTCTTTATAGTACAATATTTGTGACTTCTGCATAAAAGACTAACTTAGCAATTTCAAAATATAACAGGTCCCAGTTCTGAATTTTTCAGTACAAACACAAGCTAACATTTTTCCAGAGCTGCTCCCTGACTGCCAAGATATGCTGCATGGTGCATTAATACACCCCCACATTGAATATGATAATATTATTGAGACATTGGGGAATACTAAAATCATTCAACACAGCTGGGCTACTGACCTTCACCATTGAAAACAGAAGCAGTGTTAAAACCACATAAACCAAGTCAAAGAAAAAGCCCATCAATCAATTAAATTGAGTTTTTAATTGAACTGGAGCAATCTCTTTTATATGTCAATGTAAGAAGGAAAAATAAAACAGATCAAGCCACTTCAGAATGAAAACCTAGAAGATAATTGTATAGTGTCACAAATGTTCATAGAATTTATAAGGCTTTTTAATTTTTTTCTAAAAATCATACCAAATTAATTATAATTCAGATTAATCATAACTCAGTATCATTAGAGATGCATTATATCCACACTATTCATTTTTGGAGGAAAGGACTTGAGTTTCCCTGTGCCAAAGGCAGTTAGTTCAGTGAGGTGAAAATTCAAATATAACCTTGTAAGATGCACACCAATGTGTCAGTATTTGAATCCCTCACTAATGTAGGATTGTCTGTGTTTATACAGGACAAATCTCAAGTAATATGTGAGATATTGCACAGAAAACCAGTATTTTTAGACATCCCTAGCAGAACAGGAGGGAAGATAAAGTCAGTAAAATGACATAATGATATTAAATAGGCAAGGACTATGTGGCAAAATGGCATACAATACTCCAGGTATACAATACTCTCCTTTTGAATGGATTTGGAGGTCCAGTGGTTTTGAGGGATTGTGACTACGCAATCCTACCCTAGGGTTCAGGGAGAATGGAAAAGAGATAACCTCCGGCAATGCTGCAGCTGATAGAGATTCTCCTCAGCACAAGCTACAAAGGCTTTTATTTGCAGTGTGCACTGTATCACGTTTCATCTGAGATGCCAGATGTGTTATTTTGCTTACAACCACGATGTCTGTTTCCACGTCACCACCCACTATTCCTGGACATAGAGCAGAAAGACCCATGGGGACTTGCTTTGCTGACTTGCTAAGCTCATTAAACTCACATACCCAAATCAGACCAAGAGAAAAAAAGAAAAAAAAAAAGTCATTCTAACCTGTGAAAGAGAGAAATTACCAAACTAAATTTTCTCCCATGGTTAGTCTGAGTGAAATAAGAACAGCATCTCTTGGGTTTTTTTGTTTTTAAAAGGGAAACAAAATGAATAGGGGAGAGAGACAAATATCTCAAAATAGGGTAATACAGAAAGAAAGATGATAGAATAGTATGTCAAAGATGCCTTCAATATTCTAGAGTGGTCAAAGTAGGAATTTTTTTCTTTAAGTCAATGGCTTATCTGCAACTACATGCTTTATAAAGGAGATTCCATGTTGGAACCAAGAAATAGAGATTTGTTTCCAGCACATAGCTAGCTGGCATGCTAGAAAACATGAAGAACAAGTGTATTCAGAAAGCTATATAAATAGGAGGATGAATGAAGGACATTAATATCAAATACTACATACCTTGATTGTAATATTCACAGTCATAAGCTAAAAGAAAAAGAAAACAAGCACATTATTATCATTATTATTAGAAAATAACAACAGAATCACTGCATATCTGCATCCTAAAAATGTAAAATTCATTTCCATCAGAGCAAGTTCGATTTTCTGTAATATATTTCAATAAATGACTTTATTTCCTTTGGCTCTTATTCAATAACATACAGCTGTATTTAAATAGATGCATCAGCAACAGATCTGAAGCATGAATTATTCTATACCTGGGAACTCTCCTCACTGTCAATGAAAAGTAGAATGGACTGAATCTCTGTGCAGCCACCTGCACAATGCTGGATGTACCCCGGATCTGGTACACCAGTGTCTTTCCACCAGCCTCCCCACTGGCATACCCTAAGCACAGCCAGTCCTCTTAGGTAAGACAGCAAATTTCAATGTATAAGACTAACAGCTGACACAAAGACAGTTTGCAAACTGTGAAGCAGCACATTTATTATCCACCTGCTTCTGTCATATTTGTATTGGGCAGCGAAAGGCCAAAGATGTCCCAGTTGAGCTCCGGTGTGAAGCCAGCACAGGCACGTACCACAGAGCGAAGGAGATCGCCAGTGAATTGCTGCTCCTTGTTGGCAGCACTTGTGGGCATAAGCTGCAATACTGGTACACAGGCACTCACAGTCCCCACCAAGATTGCAGTTGCACGTATCTGTGTGACAATTTTTCACAAAAGAAGTCACATCAATCTGGAGGGGAAAAAAAAAGAAAGAAAAAAAAAAAAAGAGCTGGTGACTTAATTGCGTGAGCTGTACAAATTCCTATTGCACCATTTTAAGCAGGAGTGCTACCTCTGCATCGTCTGAAAGAATTTAACGCAAAAATAAGGCATTTTCTGAGGTTTGGATACATTCCTATACAAAAAGTATACTTCGAATGATCAGCTTGTACCTACATTACATGCCAAGAGAAAATTTCATTCAGTGATTATTAACAAGTATGTCTGTCCACACAGTTGCTGTTCATCGATTTTGGAGAGTATATTGAAGCTGGCAGTTCTGGGGTTTTATAAGGCAAATGCTGCCATCTATAGTCATCCTGCCAGTTTTGCATGAACAACAAGGTCAGAGCTGCAGCTCTGATTATTGAGTAATTAAAGTAAGAATCTGTAGAGGGGGTTTTGGTCAGGGAAAGAAAGCTTGAGCACGCTGATGACATTTTGCAGAAAAATATTTCTGCACTTATCAAGATTTTAATATACTTTGCCCACAAATCTTCATTAGATCAGAAATCCGCTTCCCCACTCTAAAATCCTATCACATTATTTCATGGTTTTACATGATACATTATTTCATAGGTTGTAATCATCTTTTTTGTAATATTGAGCAGTGTTTCCAAAAAAGTTTTCTTATTCAACACATGGAATGTTTAAAGCAATGCTTTTCTTCAGTTTAGACTCATTTTTAGACTCTGCTCTAGCTCAGTTGTACAGCACTCAAATGCCACACGTCAGTTTACAGAAATACCATCACAGTAACAAAGCAGGACTTATCTAGCATGGAGACAGCTTTTCAGCTGGCACTTGCTAGAAGCTGGCAGGGATACGAAGACTTTTTCTGTCTTCAGTGGAGAGAGATGCCATTTTGCTTTCATTGTTTTTCTTATTTTGAAAAACAGGGATACCACTGGAGGGGGAAGCAAGAGTGTTAGTTCCATTGAAAATGGTTCTAATAACTTCACAGGAACCACCACAGAGCAGATTGGCTCCAAAGAGAAGAACCTGTCACGTCTGCAGGACAGCATCTCTCCATGGGTCAGCGACATCCTGCTGTTGTAACAAACTGGGAGCCTCAGGTCAAAGCTCCTGCTGAGTTCAGGAGTTATGAGGAAGACCTTTTTTTCTGTGAGTGTCAAGGCTCCTCAGCCCCTGCTGAGTTCAGCGCTCAGACGGGCAACTGCAATCCGTCAGTCACTGCCAACCACAGACACAAGATTTTGTCTCCCTGAAAACAGGATTTTCCAGCCTCGGCTGAACTCTGAGGCCGCCTGTCCCATGGGCAGGAGCTTGCCTCCATGCACAGCAGGACCTTCCCCCACCTGCACAGCAGGACCTACTGTAAGAGCGCTGCTCCAAAAATGTCCTCAAACTCACATTTGCACTTTCTGCTCCTTCCATGCCCCCAGGGTCAGTCTCTGCTTGGGCTTTTTGCCTTGGCGCTCAGTTGCCCGCCCATGCAGCCAGCAGTCAGCTGCAGAGATCCTTGATAGGAGGTCACTTTACGTTGCATTTGTAAGAGCCATATTTTCACACACTGATGAGTAGGTTATAAAAACACCTGAAAGATGTTTGTTTTACAGGCCGTCCCATACAGGATGGATATGTGTGTATGAAAATACTTGACTACTAATTAAATGACATGTTTTGCACCTGACATGCATTTTTTTAACTTAATTATGCTAAATTTTTGGCATAATGTTTGTAAATTCTAATCACAACATGGGTAAGGTATAGAAAATGAATGTTCAAGAGAAAACTTCTTTATGAGTTATTATAATACAGCTCCTTAAAAACTCTCAAAAGTTCCATTTTTATTTATTACTTTCCACTTTGAAAATACACTCATCACCATGTTCTCAGGCACATGCTCAAAAAATTCTTTGCATAGTAACTAAAGTCAACATTAATAAATCTCTCGGGTTAAGCTACTGCAACCTCCTCCTCAGGCAAATTCCTAACCATGTTGATATCAAACTGCAGTCCTGAAAGTCAGGAGGTTCAGCTGAGACATCTAATGATCTCATTTAGTATTAATAGTCATAAAGAGAATAAGAGACAGAGGCAAAATGTCATAGTGGTTCTTGCTTGCACAGGTATAAAAAAGCACCTCTGATAACTAAATACCTTTGGGACGCTAAAATCAGAAATAGGGAAAAATGTGTAGACTATATCTTGTGTTGATAAAGGGTGCATTAAAATGGAATGAAAGATTCCCAGACAAGCTATTGTTGCCCCCATCTCACCTAGACTGAACTTAAGGACGTTCTTGTAACTCAAGTCCCACGCTCAGCCAGGTATTGGGAAAACAAGGACATCATACCTCAGAGTTTTGATAAAAAGGAGATGATAAGCTGTCAGCCAGTTAAAAGTACTGATAGCTCTGAAGCTGAATTCTTGCTCTCTCATATTTCTTTCTATATTGAACAGGACAGTTAACAAAATAGAACCATATGAGATAAGCTGTAGACACCTTACACAAATGCTTATTTTATAATCCTGCTATATATGCAAAAGCCTTAAAATTTTAATTACCTATATAAATAAAAGATATAAATAAAGCCTAAAGAGAACAGAACCTTGATTATCCAGTTCATTAACTCATGGCTCCCAGTTATCACTATTATGTTTAGGCTCCAGTCTTGAAAGGAACAAGGAGCTCTGCACAAACGTAGCCCACCCACATAGAAATACTTGCAGGGCTCTACTCTGTATCCTCCACAGCGCCCAGGCTGAGGGGAATGGCAAGAAGAAATTTATTGCTGGAAGTTTAATATTTTCCTACATGAGAGCACATCTTGGATATTTAATAAACTTACCACATTGCGACAAGGTGCAAAAACATCACTGTATAAAATTGAGCATTCCTTTTTGGCATAAGGGAACTTGCTCTGATGTACCTCACATGGTCTTAGTGTTTCATTTGGGCTCTTGCACTTAAAAACAAGCAAAAACACCACAAACATTTTATACAGAGGTGTGTTTACCATGGACTCAGGTACATTATAGTATCATGTAATTCAATACCTGCATACTCAGAAAACAAAAATAAACTTTAAATGCTATTTGCTTCATCTTCCCCTGATTTGTTGTTATAATTGAAAACATTTGCACAAAAAAAGAATCTTTGTGTTCTGTTCCGAAGTACTAAAGTGTTCCTGCTGTCTGCTCAGCGCATGAAGACAAAATGTTTTCTTTGTGACACATTATAATCATTACCAGAGCAACCAACTGTAACATCACAAACAAATACATGGTCCAAATCCATCCCTGGTGGTTTTGCACTGACTTTAAATGGAGTCACACTACAGATGGCTTTAGCCCTGTAAGTTCAAATAAAGAAGCAGCGGTAGGAAGAGAGCAACCCATAAAAAAAAATATAGAGTCAAAGATCATCTTGATAACTCAAAAATGGCTGATATACAACTCCCTCTCTTAAAGTCTCTCTTCAAGAAGAAAAATAAACGAACAGAAAAATATAACATAACGACACTCAGCTCAGAAAACACAAGTTCATCCAAACCCATACTCTCTTGCTGCAGCAGGGAAGCCCAAGAGGGGGTAAAGATGGACCTGTAGGCATCATTGGGGTGTCCCAGCACAGCCTCAGCTCCAGTGCAGTCACCCACCTACACTGTCCTTCTGTGCAGATGCTCGGATGCCACCATGGGGGGACAGGCTGCCGCTCCCAGGAGGGAGAAACCCTGGAAACATCCCACTCTTCCAGGTGCCAATGCAAGTGCATTTGCCAGTAGCAGTCGGGTTCTAGGCCTCCAGCTGTCAAATACTCCTTCACAGTACTTAGATTTTGCAGAAAAGATGACCAGAATACATCTCTATGAAGGCCAAAAGTCCTTTCTGAAAAGAATCCCTAACGCCTACTGCGGAAGCAGATGAAGTGTCAAGGCTGGCTGAGCGCAGGCTGCCTGCAAGGCCAATATTGAACTCAGATCCTGAGTGCTCTGGCAGCTACAGAAATCAGAAGATTACGTGAGATTTTACAGAGAGAATGAGAGATATGACCACAAAAAGGCAAGTGCAAGTTTGGGCTGCATAAACAAAAGTCATAACATCCTAGAAGTTAATGTGCTATGCAAACACAAAAACTTTTTTAAAGCAGACACTGAACTGATAGATTGGAAAAGAAAAATTCATAGCTTCATACAAAGTATTTATACATTTCTTTATGTACCACCTTCTATGAGCAGTATAACAACCTACACTACACACTTGCCTTGCTCACTCACACAATTTAAACATTTTATATAGAGTAAATTAGATGCAAAGGGAGATACTGAGGGAAAGAAGCCTCAAAATCTTTACTCCAAAGCAGAATAGGTTTAATATTCTTTCATGAGGTTTTGGTTCAATTTCCTGCAGTGAGTCAAGGAGAGAACAGATTAAAAACTGGTTCTCATAGACATCCTAAGGAAGTGATTTACAAATACTGATTTTTCAGGAGGTTCAAGGCTTTAAAACCTTACAGCTTCTCGGCACAAATTAATAAAATACCTATTCTCCTGAGTTATAAAACACAGTTGTGGTCATCCACTCTCTACATCCTCTTCCCTTCTTCTCAGAAACCAAGTTTCCATACTGGGTTGTGCCTGTTGCTGTTCTGAGCCTTTTCAATTTCACCCCTTCACCACCGCTGCTTTGTCAGTTTGTTCTCTGTTTACAAACTGCAGCTAAAAACAATCACTATTTTTCTTCCTCAGCATTTGGAAAGAAACCTTTTCTAGGCCATTTTTTCCAGCGTTCAGATTCTATTTGCTTTCAGTATCCTGATGCCTCTAACACCAGAGGAGGTGGTTGTTTTTTAAAATTGGTCTGAATCCAAAATATCAGAAGCGACATATGTAAATTTGTAGAAAATTGAAATCCAGACAGCTCTGATAATTTTCTTATACAGGGAGAAAGATATTCTTCCCTAAAAAGATCGTTTGGCTTCATTTAAATGCAGTATATGTTTATTATGACATAAGACATTATTAACACATTTCACATCTACAGACATAAGAATTAAAATGTTTAGAAAATCCCTGTACATCATGTGCTTACAACGTGTTCATTCATAAATTAAAATTATCATCCTTTTTTCCTAAATTTTTCCTTAGGACTTACCTGTCCTAATACCCAGCTGTCTCCAAACACCTGTGCATTTCTCACTTCCATGTTGTTTGATGTAGTCAGATCATTTGAAGTATATTTGTCAAAATTTCCACACAAACCTGCCAGTTTACCCTGAAAGAGAAGAAGGATTTGTTTGTTGGTTGGTTTTTGTTTTGTTTTTTACATGTACTGACAGTCAATAATCAGTAGAAATGACATGTGGAATAAAACATTGTTAAACTGAAAAAGGTGAATGCAACTCTGATTTATACTTTGAAAATAGCTGACACTCTGCTATGCTTACAGTTCCATATTGCAAATAACTTTTAATAGAAATTCATGTTTTCCTTTTTTTGTTCCTGCTTTCCAGAACCTGTTCTTTCTGTCTGCCTGAGAAAAGGGACTGGAATCTAGTCATATTTTTTCCTGAAAGCTTAGTAAGGCATCCAGCTCAAAAGTCAAAAGTTCAGGTGGATTACCTCATGATTGTGAAGCCTGACTAGTTGTTGTCATTAAAACTTGCTGCCTCTAATTTTAGCTCATAATAGCAAGAACATTTGTAATAGCAGTTACAAAAGAGACAGCTGCAACTTTCTTGTGTTGGGGCATGTGCTACCGATGGAAAAAGTATATAGACATGCATAGACACACACATACACAGAGAAAAAGGCATTTCTGCACAACAGTAAAATGCAGAGTTGGATTTCTAGGGTGCTGTGGCTCACTCTAACGAATTCTTTTTCCTAAAGGTCTGCTGTAGACATTATCTTACTGAACTGGAGCCTCTGGAAGAAACAGTCATTGAAAACAGAAAAAGCTTGAAGTATTTGTGTCCCTGTATGCAACCTGTAGAACTCAGCTCCTTGCTAGCTTACTCAAAAACAGAAGAATCTTTTTTTCCATTATGTGTATTGATGGCTGATAAATCAGCTTGTATGCGAAGTGAGCATTTCATGGCTGTTGGGACAAAAGCCTATTATAATGTTGCTTTAAAACCAGATTAGATGGTCATTGTAACTTTGACTTACACTTCAAAAAAAAAAAAAAAAAGATACTGTATTCTACCATAGAGTGCCTTCTTTTCTCTTACTGAGAAGAGCCCCCTCTCAATATGTGTTCATGGTTGAGACAAAGCAGGAA